AAAGCAAAAATAGGGTAAATAAATCGTGCCCCTGCTCATGGTATAGCCGTACTCGGCAGCTGGGACATCTGCAGCTGGCTGGTGCCTTTCCCCGTGCTCCAAAATATGTCTTCACTGCAAATCATCAAACCAGATGGATCAAAAAATATTACTTAGATTACTGAAATGAGTCTCCAGATCGTGGAGCTTCCCTTTGTGATTCCCTCCTGACGTTTGGGGGGTCACTTTGCCCCTAAATTAGCCTGGACAAAGTGAGGAGAAAAGTCTTTTTTTTTTTTTTTTAAAAAAAAAGAAAAAATAAAATTCGAAACTCCCCCACCAACAAAAGAAGAAAAGAACCCAACTGTTATTCAGATCAAAGTAATCCTAAATATGCCCTTCTGCAACAAAGCTTCACATCTCTCCTTGCTGGCTGGTTTTGATTGCCTCTGTGCAGAAATAAAAGGAAGTGCAAAGGCTTCGTTTGGATCTCCCAGGCTCCCATTATATTAGTGCTGCTCTGCTGCCTTCAGTGACTTTATTCTCGATTTACCTCCCTCCGAGGGGCCAGAATCAGGCCCCTGATAGCTCGTCTCCCCAAAAGTATAAAATCAAGGGACTGAAATCTGTTCTTCATCGCATGAATGCCAACAAGGAGAAACTTCATGGAGAGAGCGATCTGCTGCCTGGTTGGGTTCATGTGGCTTTGACCGAGATCAGGGATCTGCTGTGAGGTCTTTGTTGTTCACATCTGCTGGATTTTGGATGCTTTTGGGTGCTTTCCTACTCAAATTGCTGAGTGCTCAGGGCAGAAAGTGAGGAAAATCTTGAATTTGCAACTAGACGTGTCCCCTCCTCCCAAAAACCTTACTGCACGTCGCAGTTGCAGCTCCTTTCCCCTTTCCCCATTGCATGCTTTTCCTGTGGCGTGCAGTCCAGCCGCTCCCCAAACCTTCTCAGCCTGCCCCTGCTGCATATTTAAAATTAAATAATCAGGTCCCAAGCGCCTCCGTGCAGCTTCCAGCTTGCCTGGAGGTCCATTGCCACTTGTAGAGCATTTTTCAGCAGTTCCCCCCGCCCCATCCTTATAATAAATCTTTTATAAATCTAAGCCTCTCCCTTACTCTGAGGAGTGCATCAGTCATCTTCGAATGCCAACCGCCTTTCATCCTGCCCTCAGAAGTACAGTAATATCTGAAAGTCCTGGAAAAAAATAAAGCAGCTCTTTACCAGCAGCTCTCCTTGCTGTGGGATCGGAGGGCCCCGTTAGCACGCTGCCGGGTGAAGGCAGCACCGCTGCCTGTTCACCAGCAGCACCACACCGTGTCCTGGCCCCTGCCTGCGTGCCGGCGGGGGGGGGTTGGGGGGGGT